TTCAAAATTTCCTCATTCAAAATTTTCAAAAAGAAAATTTTCAAAGAAAAAATGTTTTAAAAATAAAAATGATGTCACTTGCTGGAAATGCAAGCAAACGGACACTATTCAAATAAATGTCCTATGAAGGATAAGATCAATAATCTTCAAATTGATGAAGATATTAAACTTCAGCTTCTCAATATAATTTCTAGTTCTGATGAAGAATCTAATTCTGAATTAGAACATGTTTTTCAACATCAAGAAGACTTTGACTATGAGTCAGAAAATTTTTCAAACTCCTCTTCTTCTAGTCAAGAGAAAGAAATTTGTGGTTGTAAGACCATCAATGTTCTTTCTAAAGAAGAAGAATTCATTCAAGATATTGTTGATCAAATCAAAGATCCCCAGCTAAAAAATAAATTTGCTACTCTTTTACCCTCATCTTCTATTTCTGAACCCGTCATTTTTCAAAATATTATGAATCGTTTTTCAGAAAAGAAAGCTTCTACTTCTGATTTGAAGATGGAAGTAAATCAAATGAAATCTCAAATTGCCATTCTTGAAAAACAAATGAAAGAAGTACGAATGGAAGTAGTACTTTTTAAATCCAAATCTAAACAAATTTCTCAAGAATCTTCTGATGAGTCCGATTCAAATGATACTTCTCATGCTTATCATCCTAGCTATCATTCTCCTCATCCTTCTGATAAAGATAATTCAAATCGATCTTCTGATAAAGAAGCTGAAGCTGAAGCTGAAAAGGTTAATGTTATTAATCGAATTCAGCTACAAAAAATGGTATTGTCATATGATAATTATCGTCAACAAAGAATTCAAACTTTCAACTCGCGTTCTTATTGATTCAAGCGCTGATCAAAATTGTATTAGGGAAGGATTGATTCCTACAAAATATTTTGAAAAGACTACTGAGCGACTTTATGGAGCCAGTGGTAAAAAATTCAATATTCAATATAAACTTTTGAAAGCACATGTTTGCAACTCAAATATCTATTTCAAAAATATATTTTATCTCGTTAAAGATTTAGATCAAGAAGTAATTCCTGGTACACCTTTTTTTGTTCAAATTTATCCTTTTAAAGCAGATTCTAAAGGATTGTCTACAAAAATTTTTGGTCAAGAAATATTTTTCAAATTTACAAATCCGCCCTCTTTTAAAGATGTTAATTCCTTAAAAGAAGCAACGATTTCAAAAATGATTAATAATATAAATTTAAAAAGGCAACATATTCTATTTCTTAAAGAAGAAATCAAATTCAAAAGAATTGAAGAACAGTTGCAAGAATTTTCAGTAAAAGAAAAAAGTTCGATTTTTCAAAAACAAATTGAAAAAGAAATTTGCTTTACTACTCCAAATGCATTTTGGGATAGAAAGAGACACATTATTTCCCTTCCATAGAATTCTGATTTTCAAGAATCCAATATCCCTGCCAAATCTCGACCAATTCAAATGAACAAAGATTTACTTGATCATTGTGTCAAAGAAATTAATGATCTCCTTGAAAAGGGTCTTATTCAGCCGAGTAAATCTCGTTGGAGTTGTTCGACTTTCTATGTCAATAATTCTGCTAAAATAGAACGTGGAGCTCCATGATTCGTGATCAATTATAAACCTCTCAACTCTGCTCTTTAATGGATTCGTTATCTTTTACCTCAAAAGAAAGATCTCCTCAATAGATTATTCAAAGCTTGTATCTTCTCTAAATTTGATATGAAATCTGGTTTTTGACAAATTCAAATCAAAGAGGAAGATAGATACAAAACTGCATTTAATGTTCCTTTCGGATAATACGAATGGAATGTTTTGCTTTTTGGTTTAAAAAATGCTCCCTCTGAATTTCAAAAAATCATGAATGATATTTTTAATCCATTTTCAAATTTTATCATTGTCTACATTGATGATGTTTTAATATTTTTTGAAAGTATTGAACAACATTTCAAGCATTGCATACATTCATTCAAATTAGTAAGAAAAATGGTTTAGCAGTATCTGCTAAAAAGGTTGTTTTGTGTCAAATGAATTTAGTTTTTTAGGACATAATATTCATTTATGTTCAACCATTATTCCTATTCAACGAAGTCTTGAGTTTGCCTAATCAAATCCTTGAAAAATCTAGTCTTCAAAGATTTCTTGGTTGTGTCAATTACGTGTCAGACTTTATTAAAGATATTAGGCTGATATGTGTTCCTCTTTTCAAAAAATTACAAAAGAAGCCTGATCCCTAGAGTCACGAGCATACTTTAGCTGTTCAAAAGGCTAAAGCAGCTATCAAAAGCATACCTTGTCTTTCAATACTTGACCCAGAAGCCTCGATAATTGTCGAAATTGATGCCTCTGATATAGGGTATGGTGGAATACTAAAGCAGATTCCAAAAATGTCAAAACAAGAACAGTTAGTCAGATTTTGCAGTGGAATTTGGACTGGCCATCAAATCAATTATTCTACAATCAAAAAAGAGATTTTATCAATTGTTTTATGTATTTTATAATTTCAAGATGATTTAATCAATAAAGAATTTATTCTAAAAACTGATTGTAAAGTTTCAAAAGATGTTTTATAAAAAGACGTTAAAAACCTTGTTTCAAAACAATTTTTTGCTAGATGGCAAGCTATTTTATCTTGCTTTGATTTCAAAATTCTATATATACAAGGAAAGTCTAACTATCTTGCAGACTTCTTAACTAGAGAATTCTTGCAAAAGAAGAGTGTTGAGTGATACATTTGTGAGATACGGATTTCTCTTCTTCCTCTAAGAAGAAGAATAAGCAAAAATCTTCAATTGCTTTACTTAGAATTGATGATTATATTTCAAATTCTCATTCTTCATCTTCAAATTCTCAAAAAGCTACATTAGCTTCTACTCATAAGGCTTCTACTCAAAATGAACCTTCAAACTTCAAGAAAGCTGTCCAAACAGGATCTGGTAAGTTACCAAAAATTAATCCATCTCAAATTACCTTTCATTATTTTACAAAACCTCTTTACCTTCCTATTTGCGAAATGGAAACTTTATGGATCCATCGATATTCATCCCACGATGAATGTATTCAATATTTTTTACCTCAAGACTTCCATTTCTTACCCAAAAATATCAAAAAATCAAGAGAATACTATGAAACTATTCTCGTCAAAACAGGATCAGCCATCATTACTCATACTCCAAATCGTCAAAAAAAAAATTACATTGATTTCTCAAAAATTTCTATTCGAAGAGTGTGGTCTTATGAACACTGGGGGACCAACCCATGGAATGAGAAGAAAATGAATCTTTCAAAAAATGCTTCATTTAAATCTCGTTTCAATTATTTTGACTACATTGATACTTGGTCTAATGTCTTTTTCTTTAGACCAGTTTCGCATTCCCAGTTTATTCTTTTTAACAAGACTTGTTCAAACAATTTTTCAAAATGATTTCAAACATGGTTCGAATATTTTGGCATTGACGAGACTGTTTTACCTAGTCTTACTCGTCAAGGGTTAGAACAATTCAAAAAAGAGGCAAAAACCTTTTTGAAACCTCAAGAAAATCTTCTGTTTCAATTTTCAATGAATCTCAAAGTCTCATGGATTTTCTGTTGGGACTATCAAATTATTCAAAATCCTGGTTCAGAATTCAATGTCAAAAAGATTGCAAGAAGATTCAAAATCAAATGATGGTCAAAATTTCATGAAACAAATTGCTGTCCTAAGGCGGTAAACTCATGGATTCAAGAACAAAAGAATATCGGAGTTCCCTCTAAAAAAGAGTAAGAAAAAACTGCTGATTTTCTTACAGAAAAATCAAAATTATTGGCTATGTTAAGTCAGTACAAAACTCCAGAAGAATTATCTGTGATTTCTGAAAAGATTACAAATTTAGCAGACGCCGCTTCAAAGAAATCAAAGTCAGAAACCTCAAATGAAGAATCGGATGATGCCTATGGTAATGAAGATGATTGTTATGGCTTTGATATTGATGATTTAATTGATCAAGAAAATCCAAAAACTACCAAATGACTACATGGTCCGAGTTTTCTTGATGAACTTTATCAACACCGTGCTCATAAATCAAAAGATTTACTTTTTTAAGATGTGTTTGCCAGCCAACACATTATTTCTCCCAGCTTTGCCGACACTCAAAAGGAAGACCTGACAAAGATTTCAAAAAGCCGGGAAGGAGATAACTATTTTCAATTTTCAATTTTGTGAACTCAAGATTCTTTCATATGAAGAAAAGTGTTGTTTTTCACGTGCTCAAGTGAAGAGAGTTTTTGTGATCATCAAAAAGATTTTCAAGATTCTCTCAAGTGGTAAACAAAAATGTTTTTCAAGATACTCTCAAGTGGTAGACAAAAAAGTTGTTTCAACAAATCTCTCAAGTGGAAAGTTGGTGAAAATATTCTCTCATTTGAAGAAAAATTTTTCATGTGATACTTTTCAAGATACTTCAATTATTTCATATCCGGGTCTTTAAAAGGGGAACCATTTCATCTGTTTTTCCTCAAGCGTAAAATAATTAATATTCACCCTCTTCAAAATAGTTTTAGATTCTCTTGTAATTCCTCGTAATTTCAAATTTCAAGTATATATATATGAATTGGGAGAGTAAATTTTGTAATGTAATTTTTATAAAAATATTTGATTAAAAAATAAAATTAAAAAAAATTAAATTTACTTGTAAATTATTTTATTGAAAGAATATATAATTAAAATTGAGTTTCAGTAATTTTATTTTATTGTAATTTTTTATAAAAATAATGAAAGCTCAAGCATGGACATAAGGTGCTACCTATCATTTCAAATGTACGGGAAGACATCAAGCATGACCCCTGGAGGTATTCCCAGGGCATATTGTTTACATCCACTTCCACAACCTTTAACAAAAGTCCACAAGAGTTCGTTAATATTTTGGGGCGAGCAAAATTAAGTTTTAAGCATAAAGTAAAACGTTCGCAGAGCTATGGAAAGGGTAACCATCTTGTGCATATAAGTGAAGACTTCAAAGCCACATTTTTGCAACTATTTTTGGGATTCTTTCGATGGCTTTATGATGAGAACGGCACATTTTGCGTGATGAGCAACATAATCACTAACACTTCCCAAGAACGCCCTGCACGACAATGCAATTTAATTGGTATTATGCGCGTTCGATTAACCGATACGTCATCAAATGAAATATCAAATATAAACAAGATTCTTCTGCGCTTTCGATTAACTGATACGTCATCAAATGAAATATCAAAGATAAACAGATTCTTCTTCAACCACGGTACGTCTAGCATCACATCAAATTCAAAATGCGTGACATGGGAAAATGCTTGTCTATCACTTCGCCCCTGTTTGATTTAGATAAAAATTAGATTTTTGATCATTTGACATGGCTTTTGAGACCAAAACGCTATTTTTAGACTCTTAGAAGAATCTGGTCAAATGTTGTTTCCTTTAAAAGTATTTCCGAAATATGAAGTGCTTTTAAATATTAGTTTCTAAACAAAAATTATGGTGTATTTAAGCCACATTATTTTAGAAAAATATATTTTGGAGATTCTCCATTTTGGAGATTAATGGAGAATTTGTGGTTGAAAAAGAAGGAAAAGTTATTGATGTGATGGAAAATATTATTTTATTGAAGCGTGTGTGGTTGAAAATGAGTACATGAATGAAAATGAAAATTTTAATGTAACTCAAACATGAGCTTAAATATCTTCCTCCAAAACTTTTACAAGCTGCAAAAGCCATGCCAAACAGCGTAGATTTTGATAAAAGTTGATAGAACATGTAGTTGAAAAGTTGTGCATCCAATTAAATGTGTTATTAAAATTAATTGTTAACTTTGATTTATGCTTTAATTCAGATTTTTAGCTAAACAAAATGGGGCTTGGTTGAAGTTAAAATGTTACCTCTTGATCATTCCAAGTCCACGGCTACCTACAACAACAAGATCCATTTGCATGAGCCCTGCAGCTTCACAAATCACTTCCTTTGGATCTCCCTCAAGGAGTGAAGTTTTTGCTTCTACCTGCAAATGCAAAGCAATATTTATTAATTATGTTCCAAATAGAACTATAAAACTAAAGGGATTGGTTAACTTATATGAGAATTCAATAGGGCATTGTGGCATTGAAGCCAAGCTAAGCATGGTCACGGGCCATACCATAAGAGATGGTTTTATGCATGCAATTGTTATTTCAGGTAAGCTTATGAATCTTGTTATTGCACGAATTTAGATTGGGTATGATACTATGATTAATCCGGTTGTCGAAACTAACCTTTTTCTCAGTACAAATCTGCAGAGCATGATTGAGTAACGCTGAAGCATTTTGTTGTTCCACTTTTTTCACGGAATGTAGTGAAGTTGTTGGAAAAATAGCTGATTCGGATTAATGACCGATAAGACATGGAAAAATTTAGTCATTACACTTGAAACACAAATATACCAAAAATTTAGTTATTACACTTTTCCTCACTTTTATTCTACCACAAAATCTCTACAAATAGAGGCTTATTCATAGAAATACATGTAAAACGGATCTAAGTATTCAGACTATTTTAAAATCTACAAGTAAATGTTAAATAATGAAGAAAGACGATTATCAAAACCCTTACTGGGTGCGCCGGGGAAGACGTAGTTGGGGAATGGCTCAATTACGTGCATAATTGTGAGCACACCATGACCCAGTGCCAATGGTTGCTGGAAGAATTTGTCAAGAACCCATCCCAGTGCATAGAAGCTTTCGTCGCTATCGTCAATCGCCACCAGTATCTTCATCTGCTCCCCTGATTCTGCCGCCGTTGACAGTTGCTCCGCCCCAGCTTCCAGGCATACACTTGGCTCCGCGGTGGTGCTTTCCATAGTCTTGTTTCGTTCCTGAACTATCGATGCTGAACGGGAGTGATTGTATATAATTTTTTGTTTTGATTGGAATTTATAAATGGTATAAATATTGTAAAAATGAGAGAAGAAAAAGGGCAGAAAACTGATATCGACAAGGCTGCATGAATATTGAATAAGAAAACAGAATACTGCTGATTACACGTGCCAGAAATATCAGAGGACAGATGGTTGACATGCAATACCACGTGGCTGTCTCGTATGTAAATAAGAATTAAGCTAAATTTACAGAAAAATGGTTCACATGACTATTACAGCCCCTCACTGTTGGGGGCCCACATGTATTTTAAAAAAAATAGTGCTGCGCGGGCCCCATCTTTGTGTGATATCTAGCGATCCCCTGTGAACCTGCTGCATGCACGTGAAGCAGCATTCTATAAATAATATAAGCAATGTCACGAGAAAGATATAATAAATTATTCACTTAATTCTTTATCACTTAGCACTACCTAGAGGCTAGACTAGTGTTTTAGCACACAAAAGCACCGGAATTTGAGAAGAAACACACCAAAATAATGTAGGAACTAGATCAACAAATACGAACAAAACCAAGATCAAATTGAATAAGATGAACACCGAAGGCCCAAACGCGTGATCGCTGTCCTCAAACTAAATTTATCCTCTCTCAGGATTGAAAATGATGCCCAAAGGATTATGGCAAATGGTTCATAGGATTAATTAGGCCTTGTAAAGAATTAACACTCAAACATTAAGGGTCCGTTTGATTGCAAGGGTGGAAAATGGGTGGAAAGAAAATGAATTTTAGGGAAATTAGTTGACTAGAAATTGTTTTCCAGGGAATTGTTAATTGAGTGTGTTTGAGTGGTATAATTTTCCACCCAAAAAATTTTCAAATTTTGTATTCATTTAGTTTTGTTTTATATGGAAATTGTTCACTAAAATGATAATTTTTTCCACAATTAGTTATAAAATTTGTTTTCATTGCCAAAAAGTTAAAAAAAAAAAAGCGAAATTTTTTTCCCTGAAAAAACATTTTTTTAATTAAAGTTTAGTATTCGTTTGACTTTGTTTTACATGTAAATTGTCCATTAAAGTAATTTTTTTTACAATTGGTTATGAAAGCTATTTCTATTGTTAAAAAAAAAAAAAAAACCTGATATTAGATTTCCCACCAAAAAGGTAGGAAATCCAATTCCTTGAAAATGAGGAAATGGTGCACATGTGGCTCAAAATGGAAAGGGAATTTCATGGAAAAAAATGGTATCAAACATGACAAATGTTGGAAAATGGAATTTGAAGCCTATCAAACACACCCTAAGTGTAATTCACCAAAATTTGATGAACACAGAAATAATTGAATATGATGAAGAAAATATGAATTCTTGTTGTTTAGGAATGACGAATATGGCTATGACTTTTGTATGTTTTCAACAACATTATAATGACCACAAACCACTTATATATAGTCACGAGACATGGCCATACGAAGTGATGCCAAAAATCCTCCAAAAGCCACCAAAGTTTTGAACAAAACGGTCAAAAAGGGCCTCCAACGGTCCAAATAATGCTATATGCGAGGACTCAAAACAGGGGCTTGATTCCCTGTTCCCATGGCCAAATTGCCTATGAGGTGGCATAGGCCACAAATTGGCCGTTTTTTCTCCTCTTTCATTCCACACTTTATTGGTTTTGAACACAATTTCTAAACAATCTCCCACATGTTCAAAATCCAATAAAGTCTCATATTCAATATATACGATTTTCATGCATAAAAATTAGTTTTTNTCGAGGGTGGCGACCAAAGAAATCTCCTAGTTGGTGGCTATTTCGGTGTCTGGGCAGGGTTAGGATAGGTTGCCAAGTTGATATTAGGTGAAATGGGAAAAATAAATGTTATTTGAATTTTTTTCTCCTTTTTTTCTTTTTTTAAATTGTTTTAGTTAAATGTTAAAAGATAACTGCATTAAATTAGTCGAATTAAGACTTTTGGTCCACTGATAGGTTTTTGATGAAAATTGTTAAAAATATTCCCAATCACAATTATCTAAAGATTTAGGACATCGTTGCCACTGAAATAAACGTTTGAAATCGCACGGCACATTTTTGAAAGATTTTGAAACCTCTACCGCAAATATTCCTAAAAAAATAACAGAAAATTCAGTCGAACATTAAGAATCTTACAGATTCGTCTCTTTTTGGTCAGATCTTTGTTTTTTTTTTTTTTTTTGGTGGGGTGGGGGGTTACATTACAAGTTTCTTTTTGTCGATTAGTTTGCCTGATTGATTTTTCTCAACATTTAACACAAACTTCACTACCAAAATGACACTTTTCCCTTCGAAATATCGAGGCCATGCTAGATTCTCATTCTCATTGCAGACATTTACACAAATAAACATTTATATATTTTCTGCTCTTCCTTATCCAAGATGTATTAACTACAATTCAGCCCTCAACAATGAGGGCAAATTTAGTAATAGAAATCACGTTCTTACACGAGTGACTGCAACTATAATACAATATATGCAACTATGGGAGAAGAACACTATGTAGTTGTCACAATTTTTTCACTTGTTGCAGGATGTAGCATTTGGTGTGAAAATCACCATTTGCCGTCCGTCTATCCCTGCTAATAATTGATATAGCAAGTCATGTTAAAGCATAAATATAAATCAACTTATAACGATTTGGACTACTACTCTTATTAAAATTGACATTTTAAGTGAAACCACGTGTCTTAATATGGTACCAGAATCCCATAAGCTACAACTAGCAATTCGATCCGATTAAGATTCAAAAAATGAGCACGCAAAATTTAAGATTGATTTGCTGAAACAAGCCACCATCTTGTGGAGCATGTTAAGAGATAAATATAGACTAACTTATAAGGACTTGAATTATTCCTCTTACTAAAGTGATCTTTTAAGATGGAGCTCCAAATCTTAACAATTCCGAACTGACATTTTATCACATGCTAGTAACACCGATGAACACCTGTTGGTGGCTCATAAGAATTTCAACCGCAACATTTGTATCTCCATTCGCTGCTGCCATTGCTATTTCAACCTGTGTCTGAAAAATATTCTAAGTACTTGCTTTCAACATTCGTCCAACTCCGTAATATATGCTTGTCTCAATTAGATGTTATAGTTACCCTTTCAAAACCCATTGCAATAAGTTTCTGAATTTCTTCTTCAGATGCAACAGAACCCTACATTTATTGACAAGTAACAAAAAATTGTTTAGAGATCAAAATACACGGATAAAAAGTAAAAGGTGCAAATTTTATCAGATAGCAGAACCTGATTGCTAGTCAATCTCGTAGGTGTCCCTGTACTATTTACTGCTGGAGGCCTGAAAAACAGAAATAGAGTTGGAAAAAACCTTTGGAAGAGAATGATGATTGAGCAAACCCCTATTGGTATCTAAATAGAAACTAGCAGCCTTCAACTGGGTAGTTCATTTGTAATATGCAACGGTAATAGGTTATGCCTATGTTTGGTATCCATTCTTTTTTTCATTCTCATTCTTCTACTAATTTTCAACCACACATTCATCAATAAAATAATCATTTCCATCACATCAATAACTTTTCCTTCATTTTCAACCACAAAAAAGGTGTGATTTGACATAAAGAATACATTATTTTCTAGAATAATGGCTACCAAACGGTGCCTAAAGTTAACTTGTTTGGTACATTGATCAGAAAATGAANAAGCATCAAAACATATAACAGCACAAAGACTAGAGGTGAAGTAGGGGAAAAGTCAACTTAAAGGTGCTTTCAAGAGCTCATTTAGTTGATTAACATGCATAATGAACTTATAATACCTTTCGTCTGATATCTGCAGTCTAGCTGGATCTGATGGATGGTCAAGGCTGTTTTTATCATCCAGAAGTCTAGTTTGCAAGCTAGAATCAGGATTTGGAGTAGAAGCTGCTTGACTTAAACCAGAACCAAGTGTCCTTCCTCTCCCAGGGAACCTGTCACTGTCTTGTGTTGGCTGCATCTTGTAAATCATACATTTTCTTAGCAAACATTATTCCATTAGCTACAAAATAGAGCTCACTATGGAATATAATTTCTCTACTTCAAAGTACCAACCATTAAAAGAATCATGTGACTTCACTATACTTATTGACCAATGAAAGGGATGGGGATAATTGGATCTCGAGAATCTTATGAAATACTAACGTGACAAGAGTGCTACCCATGTACAAATATTGAATTGATATACAAAAACTTCACGTTAATCACCCTAGACAAATAGCTAATACAAAAATACAATCATATATAACCTGGAAACCCACTAAATTTTATACGGTAGAATATGTAAGTTCTGTGTAAAATAAAGTACACTGATGTACATTCAAATTTATTATGATTTTTGTTGTAATTATATTCTCCATTCAATTGTATTCACTATTCTCTACGGACAATTCAATTAAGGTTCAAAGTATAGAATATTATTACATAGAGAATGCAGAATAATTCCTAATAACATCCTGTATGAATCCCCATGAAAAGCAAAGGGTGCCCACAGGTAACCGAAAGTGACCTCGGCCCAATGGCAAACTACTGAAGCTATAGACACACCTGTCGCAGCCGAAGGCAGCCACATGAAAGGTGCAGCCCGCACTCATATAAGCTTTTCCAGTTATGTAGGTTCTAGATCCAAAACTTGCAGATCTTTAAAATATATAAAATTTGGTTGAGGAAATGACTAAAATATCCCATTATAAATATCTTGAGTATCTATAGAAGATTTAGACAGCCTCTCCAAACTATGGGATTAAATTGACTTATCCATTTGAGTAGGTGAAATTATAAATAGGGCTAGGGAGCTCATTACACCCATCAAGTAGTAGACCACTATTAAGAGCAATACAAATTGTGTTTCAAATATCATCTATCTTTACTAATAAACTTTCTTGTTTATTTCCACACTTGCATTAACCTTTGGGTTCTCAAGAGGATAACACTTTGGTAGTTATATCAGGC